CCCCCCCCCCCTCCCCTCCCACAACCCTTCCCAATTGAATTCAGCTTAGATTGTTGATAGAAATATTCATATGAAACTTAAAGTACTTCTAGAATACAAAGTAGAAAATGTCTCCCCTCACTTTATAGATTTACCCAATTCTGAAAAGTATCAGCAAGAATCCCTCTGAATGTAAGATATTGATGCCATTGAAAACTACTATATAAAGCGATACAAATTTGAATGGCGAGAAAAAAACCATTTGCTGAAACGATTTAAACCCTGTAAAAACCCTGAATAAATAGATATTAAATTATATATTAAAAGTTATTAACTTTGTAATTGAAAAAACGGTGCAGTTAGTTATATTGAGTTCTAGTGGAAGAAGTGGAAGGAGGACCATGCTAAACTTACTTATATTAAGGTAATTATCTCTTAGCCTATACCTGCTTGGATTTATAGTCAAATTGAGCCCTTGCATTAGGCTTTAAACCACTATTTGCCATTTGATAGTCTGTATAACAATAGGAAGCAGATTTTAAAAAAAACTCTTTTTAGTTTATGTGTGGTGCTTACAGTTTATGGTGGGGATGCTTCTACACCATTTTTTAAGGTTGGCATTGTCATTGTCATTGTCACTTTCATTGTCATTGTCATTGTCATTGCCATTGTCATTGCCATTGTCATTGTCATTGTCATTGTCTTTTAAGGTTGGCATTTCATTGTCATTGTCATTGTCATTGTCATTGTCATTGCCATTGTCATTGCCATTGTCATTGTCATTGTGATCGTCATTGTCATCGTCATTGTCATATCATCCTCATGATTATCATCCTTATCATCAACATCATGAATGTCATCATAACATGCTTGTCATTATCATAAATAGTACCAATGATGTTAAAAATATTGTAGAAAAAGTTGACTAGAAGTACAAATGCCTGCTTCAAGTCAATTGAAACTGAAAACTTGATTGAGTGCAAGGTAAAAGTATTTTTAGAAGCCAAATTAATAATTAGTACATTGGTATAAATTCAAGAATAGTTAAATAACTTTGTATCACAATTTTAAAAGACACTTTTGCAAAGCCAGTTTTAATTTTTAAACGAAACACTGCCTGTCATGTTTAAAGGTATCTTTATATTTTAAAAGTTTCTGTTTTTCCTAACTGATAGTTTTGTTGAGTGAATGCTGAAAATTTATTTTTGAAAAATATATTGTTTGTTTGTTTAACGCTGTTCACTGTACATTTGTACACTGTTTACTGTACAGTATACACTTCATCTTTAAGCCTGTGAAAATATTTCTAGTTATACAAATTTATAATACACAGCCATATTGGATTTCCGATTCCCAGTAGGCACAAAGCAACAAATAGGAGAAGTTCCATGGAATATACGTACATGGATTAAACTTTAAAGGAAGGTTAGAAAGATAGCTGGTAAAATATAGCTTTTATATATTAACGTCCGGGAAATTCCTTATTGGATTTCACTTACGAGTAAAAAAGTTCTAAGGAAGAATTCAAATCTTCTTTTGGTTTTCATGGTTTGATTTTAGCTCTTTGAGTGAAATTAGCTACAGAAATAGAAGTAGTAATAAAATCAATATTTGAGTTAAATTATAATGTTCTAGGTGGAATGCAGCACGGACAAAACATGTCAAACATTCAACTTTGGAGAGGTCAAATTAAAGTTTTTAATTGGAAATTTTAAGTTACAGTTAACTAAACCCATGATTGATATAGTTTTTCATATTTATTTGATCCTTTTCAATAAATATCTTGTAAGCTATAACCAAGCCCCATTGTAGGCAAAATTGGTGCTTACTTTAAATCTGAAAAAAGGCAAATAACTTTTTTTCCGTAATCATTTATTACAGTATTTACGAAAAACAAGATTTTTTCAGTATTATTTACCAATACCACCATACCCCATTATTACCACCATGCTTCCACTCTCCAGGAGAGTCTAGAGCTCATGATTCTGCTCAGATGTAGAGAACCAGAAGATTAACCTAAATGACATTCCAACAGTTTTCCGCCACCAACATGGTGCCTATAACTCTTTGAAGTCTGCTGATCCAATGGGTTTAGATATATACACCTAAACATAGAATACAATTTTAGTAAAATTATTATGTTCTGAGAAACCTGGAATATCCTTGAAAAACCAGCTCAATATGTAGAATGTGTGCAAAGATGCCCATGTGAGGTCACATCAATAAAGGCCAGCACCTATTAGCAAGGATGTGAGTTTGGTGACATGAGATGCAGGGACGGACCAATCCAATATCTCAGGGGAGGGCCCATATTGCGCGCAGAAAAATGTTATTGGCCCCCTCCCCCACAGTAGTAAATTTCCAATTTCATATTTATAATCACATTACAAGATTTACATACCAAAAATGAAACATGTCTATTGAAACCAGACTGATTAAACATAAGCATCTTATTTTCTTCATTACAGGCCGGGAGGCAATAGGGATGTAATTAATATGTGAGGGAATATTATACATTGCCGAAGCTTCCCAAGATCTTGATGTTGGGTCCTAAAGCATCACGAGCGTATCAGGGATTAAATAGTGTCAAAAGTTTGTTCAATAGTTGGAAAAAACATTTATTTGCCTCTTTCTCTTTTCATACTTCATTTATACCGTAAATCCATGCATTCCTTATTTCTTCCTTATTTAGATTTATTTACATTTCATTCAGAATTATCAATCTTTCATTTTCGCATACTTTTTAAAAAATCGTTTTTCAAACTGACTGGAATTCACAGGCAATATTGTGATGTTTAAAAATTGTCATTTTTCTTTGTCAAAGCTCTCCAGCTGCAAAGTAGTAGGCTAAGGGTAAGCCACATTTTTGGAACCCTAAACAATATTTGTTTTTCCCAGGGAAAATGTGAATTCTGCAGTGGATCAACATCTGAAAATTATGAATCCATGTACAGCCCACAAACCCAGTAAGTACAAGTAGTGCCAAATGTTAGCCAAAAAAATAGAATAAACGTTTTACCCATGGTCTCAGGTTTAAAAATTGATTCTAGCTTTGTTTGCCATTGTAATTAACTTGAGGAATTGTTGTGTTAAACTTAGATAAAAATGTCCCCCTGAATTTCCATGATCCTGCATATGCACAATTTATAATTCTATCCCCTATTATTTTAATGAACCTAAATTTGTGTGGGTTGGTATGTATGAAGGCTTAAAAAACTTTTAAAAAAACTTTACTGTATAATTATTAGTTAACAATTTGCTCCATTTAATGGTAACTTACGTCGTACATTGTTCATATAGTATAAATGCGCCAGTTGTAATTATGCAAATCCTGTATTGCGTTTAACCCATTCCATGATATTTATATCTCCATCACACCCATATTGTGATTGTTTAGCTACGTTATATATAACAGTGCATAACTTGTAATTACGCTTTTAATGACCCTATCCTAATCTGAACTTAAGAAACTAACCTTAGAAGGCGCTTTGCGCCCATCTTCTAAATTAATTGTGAACATGTTCTCTTTGTGTAAAACAAAACAAATTTAATTCGCGGATTTTCACAAAAAATTTTGTGGATTTTCAAAATTTTAAAAATTTTAATGGAGATCGAACTTTGATGGAGACAAATATTTGAAATTTTGATTATTCATAAACCTTCCCTGGGGTCCCTAGATGTCCCACAAAAAATTCGGTTCAGCCGTTTTGACGTTTATTGAACACAAGCAGACAGACAGACAAACAAACAAACAAACAGACAGACAAGCCAAATTTATATATAGATACACCTCAGTTTGTAGAGTAACTCCGTACAGTTTACTGCAAGAGAGTAATTCCTATTTTGATAAAACAGGTTGGATCGTCCCCATCATTTGGGATCGATATATAGCTTGTTGATAGCTAGGCTTGTGTCCCTGTGTGGCATTTAGAGCAGATCATCCCCATCATTTGGGATCGATATATAGCTTGTTGATAGCTAGACTTGAGTCCCAGTGTGGTATTTGTGTTGCCCTGGTATCATAAAGCATGATAAAAAAGATAAAAATTCAACCTTCAATGTATCACGACTACTGTACTATTAAAAGGGATATCTACTAACATGTTGAATAAGGACAAACATGGACTTAACTGTTACTATTTATACAAAAATATACTTATCTGTTTTACTATTTAGACAAATGTGTACTTACCTGTTTTATTCTTTATACAAACATGTACTTATCTGTTGTACAATTTTAAGAGAAACATGCACTTATCTGTTGTACTATTTAGATATACATGTACTTATCTGTTTTACTATTAAGAAAAAAATGTACTTATCTTTTGTATTATTTAGACAAACATGTACTTAACTGTTTTGCTATTTAGACAAGATTGTATTTGTCTGGTGTACTATTTAGACAAACTTGTACTTATCCCTTGTACTGCAAAGATGAGCATGTACTCACCTACTGTACTTTAATAGTAACATGTTTACCTGATGTACTGGTAATACTTACATATACTCACCTATTGTAGTTTAAACCTGTACTTGCCTAAAATACTAAAAAGACAGCCATGATCTCACCCTTTGTACTATAAAGAGGAATATGTACTGAAATATTGTACTGTTGAGGCAAACATGAACTGACCAGGGGGGCTGGATCTTAGCTACCTCTCTGTGTGTATTAGCCTGAGTGTACACTTGGGATAGCTTACTGAAAAACGATATTACAAGGATGTAATGCAAGGAAAGTTAATTCCGGTTGTGCATACTCCGCATACATATTGAAACCAGTTCTCTTCAGAATTTGTAAACAAGAATAGATGCATCAGTGTTTATTAAGTATCCGAGGAGGTTAAAAGCATTAAATTTTGATAATTTTGATAATTCACATAATAGTTTCCTATGACTCGAATATTTCATTGATTTTTTTATGTGAAAGATGGATCCCATGTCAGGCTTTGACATCCGTCTTGTGTTTAAATTACTGCCCAGAGAGAGTACACTGCAGTACAAAAGATGTGTACACCTATGAAATAACTTTCCTTCCATTACATCCTTGGGATATTAAGAGATTATGGCCCATTCATACAGTACAAATATCAAATATGCAATATGCGTTCAGAGTACAAGTGTATGGGGAAGGGAAGGTTTTGTTTCTTTAATTTTAAACAGTTTTCTCAGAACAGTTTAACAACAAAGAAATATTGCTCTATAAAAGACTGCAAATGTAGGTCTTCCTGTGAAAATGGAATCCAATGCACATGATAAAGGAGTAGTGGATTTTAATAGTTACATGGAAAACTAATTCTCCATTTTAATATTTTCAGAAATTACTCCCAAGTTCTGTAATATACAGATTGACCTTCGCAATTGAAGTACATGGCCTGTACAATTAGTAAAGGATTAGTGTACATCATCACTTTGTATACTATTACCTCGTTGGAACTAACCTATTGTGCTTAATATTTTCAGAAATTACTCCCGAGTACTGTAATATATAGATTGACCTTTGCAATTGAAGTACATGGCCTGTACAATTAGTAAAGGATTAGGTACAACATCACTCTATATACTATAATAACCAGACGTTTCTCTTGATTAGTATTAAGTGCTCGCATTAGCTTTCTCTGTATCTCACTTTCACTCATAAAATGTAAAAAAGTTCTGCAATAAACTACAGACGTCATGTATAGGAACATGTTGAGAAAATAAAAATTAATCTTATCATCGAAAATAAGTAATCTTGTTCAATTATTAGTTTCTATTTTGTCATTATTCTGGGTTCTCATTATTCACAAAGATTTTCACAGATTTTCTAGAATTATTATTGAAAAGACGACATTTGAAGAATTTGAAGAAATCTGCGAATAAATTCAAAAAAGATAAGAATTTCAATATAATAATGAAAATGATTTTAGCAGCGATTTATTGACAAATTTCTTTTGAGAAATATGTTCCTAGCCATCTAATTTGATTACTGTATAATTTTTACTTTTTTTTTTCGTTGTCGTTATTCAATTATTTATAAAAACTAATTCTGAAAATGTATCCACCCCCAAAGTAGGCGTTTTGAATGTTTAATTTGCGCTCAAACTCAGGATTTACAGATCTTTAAAAAGTTTAATATGTCTCAAATGAATCCGAAAGAAGTTTTCCACAACACTGCATACTCAGTTCAACTACCTTATATAGCCGGTAACTCCCTTTAACAAGGGTAACTGAGGCACTGCACAGTGGAAGGAAGTTGGTTTTGATTTAGTGCCCATATATAGTGATATGTTTTGATACTTAATTTGGGAAATTTATTTTTAATCGCCAATATTCCAAATAATTGTCTAAATTCTTAGTCCCTTCATTTTTATTTTTAGAAAGATTATTGAATTTAATTATTGAATTTATTTCCGAACCACATCACATTATTGGAATTAATTAATAGAAAATTGTGTTTTGCATCTGTTGTACTTAGATAAGTCTAATTGTTCCTGAAAACAAACCAAATAAATGTGTACTATGTAAATAAATATAGGTAATTTTATGTTTCACCTGTTACCAGTGTTAGGTCATTTCTTTTTACAGAAACAGTAGTAATCATTAGGTAAAACATAATTGCGCAAAAAGCTTTTTACTCCATACATGGAAATCTCTGGTAGTAGTTACCATTTTTTTGGAGGAATTTGGGCATATTTTTCATGGAATTTGGGAAGAATTTGCAATCAAACTTATTCTGCGCAACATTTTTTGTGCCAAACAGATTAACTCAGAATTCCTCGGAAATGCGCTTCTATGTAAGGAATGTGTAAAACTGTGAAATTTGCAGTGGAACACAAATTTAGCAAGTAAAATGCGGAATTTGTGTACAACAATTTGTCCATTTTTTTGGTACAGTTAAAATGATGTATTTTTAATATTTGAGGTACTTCTTCACAAATGATATTGATGAGGATAGGAAAATCAAAAATGCAACAAGAATGACTGCTGTTTTACTTGGTGGGATTGCAGGAGGTTTGTGTCACATTAGACAATTTAAACTTGGTTATTTGGCGCTTAAATTCTTTTAAGACAGTATAAGAACCATAAAACTGAGGAGACTTTTAAAAGTACAATAAAGATAATAACCAGCAATTCTGCAGCGTACTGTACAAACTTGTTTAACTAATTAGTTTAACTAATTTTAAAGCTTTTGGTAAAACTCTAAGCTTTATAACAACATCAAATATACTTAAAATATGAGAAATGTCTTCCACCTATTCCAAAATTTTATGAGTCATACTGTATGTTTTAAACACCTAAACTTAAAAACTTTTAATTCTCAAAAGTAACTCATGAAATTAAATATGACAGTGACATCTGCAGCTAAAGAGATCAGTATAATGCAAGCAACTTTTGAACAGGGTTCTTAAAAAAAATCTAAAAAAGTTTTTTAAGCTTTTAAGTTTCTTCTCAAAATCTGATAAGTTAAAGTTAGCATTTATTAGTCGCACTAATAACGTTGGCTCTGACAAATATAATCAGGCCTACACAGTTTTATCAGAAAACAGTTTCTAACCCTTGACTTAAAAATAACAATATTTTGTTAATGATCAAACCAAGGAAAGCTGCAAGTCCACAAGTTTCAATTGGGGCTGGGCAACATTCCGTTAAAGAACTGCAAAAACCATTAATGTTGAAATAGTTGACAAATAGAAATATGCATTCACAAAAAGAATAACAGAAAACAAAAAAGAATGAATGGATGTGCTTTAAAATAACAGTCACTGTCGTAAATTTTTCTGCTTAAAATTGCACAAAACTAACAAAAAATAAAATCAAGCAATAATAAACAGGTTATAAAAGTATGAACATGCCCAGTCCTAGTTTTAATATGACACCATCAAATTACATTCATCTATATCAAGGTTTATATGTTTCTTAAGGAGGTAAGACAGAAACATATCCTTGTAACGTAACCGTAGGGGACATAGGAGTGAGCAGAAGCCCAGGAAAAAAAATCTTTTAACAATCACAGCTTTATTTTCATACACCACACATGAGTTCTGTAATAATCGTGGATAGAGCAGTATAAAGAATAATTATAATCCCCAAGGATTGGAATGGCTTTAACTTAATAGATGATTTCATTTGCATTTACGTTTAGGTGAAATTGTCTATTAGCTTTAAATCAAACCCTGTCTAAAAAGATTAATTAACAATTAATTCATTGCAAAATGTACTGGCTTGAGTGTTAGTGTGAATGTTCCACACCAGTTTGAGCATTTTTTTGGTTAGTTTTAACCTTTCATTTTTTCAAAGGATAAGAATTTTGAATAGTTCAATAAAAGTAAACTTTTTTATCTGTTTCTGCATTTTACTAAAACTTTAAAATTCTCAATTTGTTGATCGGTTTCCTTAAGTTTTTGGTCCATTTCCTCTTATTTTTTATCCATTTCCCCTGTTAACAAAATCTTTAAAAAGCCCAATGTGTTGATTGGTTTCCTCAATGTTTTGGTCTTTATTTTTGATCCATTTCCACTTTTTTCAAAAACTTTTAAAATCTCAATTTGTTGATCAGTTTCTTCAAAGTTTTGGTTTGTTTCCTCATACTTTTTATCTGTTCAAATTGGGAAATTTCCCAAAAAATTTCTTTAAAATAAAATGGAAATGAATGTAAATTTTGGAAAATCGAAAAGAAATAGGAAACTCATCAAAACCAGAATTTTGATGGATTTCCGAAAAATTCCAAGAAATCGCAAAAGTGAGTATTTTATTTTGGTTTCTGTTCTTTTTCAATCCATTTCCATGTTGAGGTGTTTCTGTTTTGATCCATTCCATATTACAATAGGGGCTGCAGTACTACATAAACAAATTTATTATTGTGGTGGAGAATTAACTGGTGGCGTAAGGTACATCTTTCAATATTTGTCCAGTTTTGCTTTTTAAAAGCACTGATAATTTTTTTGCAATCTATTTTATTCTGTTAGACCAATTAAGGCCCTTATTTCTGCAACTAATAATATTATATATTGGTTGATATTTCTGTTTTCAGTAAAGACTGCTTTAAGAATAAAGAAGGAGTTTGGGTTCCAGTGGCGAGCATGAATGAAGCAAGACATGCCTTTCAGATGAACACTGTGGGGTCTAAATTTCTCATTACAGGGGGATTTATAAAGTAAAAAATTTGTATAATCATCATTGGCATGACTCTAGACTAAAAGAAAAATTGTAAACCCACAAATGATGTGTGTGTGACCAAATGTTATATATTTTATCTGCCATTAAGTATAAAACAAATAATCCAATATTGGTATTCTTACGCATATGAGGTTGTTAAATTTTTTTCCAGAATTTTTTCTTAAATTGCGAAAGAGTTAACATATTAAGTAATTTTGCTTTAAAAGCATTGATTATACCAGAATCTTGGTTTAGTATTTTCTCAGTATAAGGATATCTATGAAGTATGTGTATGGTCTATCAAAATTGATAAAAAGAACCAAATGATTTTAATTATTTAAAAATGGAAATTCAGACTGTAAATCTGCGATCTTTTTATAATTTTTATTCTAACATGAGTTTGGGCTTTTAAAATCAGATTGCATATCAGTGATTACTGGACTTATGGCTTTCATCACTAAATAAGCCTTGTGACTAAATACTAGATGTGCCATGAACCAAGAATATTTCAAAAAAATTTACTAAAAATTCCTCTATTTTTAAAAAGAACAATATTGCAGTGGTGTTTCTTCTGATTCTATGGAACTATACAGTGGAGGTATTTGGACTAAACTTGAACTAAAACTATCATCTGGTGTTCATAATCATTGCGGAGTAACTATCAGGTTATTAATAATTACCTCCCTAAATATGTGCAATAAATAGAAAGAATACTGCATGCAGAACTATTACAAAGTAGACTGGTCTAATGTTCCTTCAAACATTGGTTTAACTAGTAGCTTAAAAATTTAATCGAAAGTAAAATGGGTCTGTTTAAAGTGCACAATTGCCATTGCTTTTGTTAATAGGAATATTTGAAATTGTAACTTGAGACCAAAGGTAATTTTCGTATTCCACATATTTCTGGTTCTCAATGTAGCATGATAAAATATAAAGACCATTAAAGGGAGTGTTGCAAAAAATAAAAGTGGGTAAAGGCTAACCATGGAATCAAATTCCATGGTATCCCTACTAATCTTAATACTATCTGTTGCGTCTTTAAGGAGAAAATAGTTAAACAGAGCTGGGAACTTAAGAATGGATAACCTTTAATCCCAACTACTTAATCCGAATATCCACTGTGGAAACTTTTAATTTTAGTCCTTAATCTACTCATTTCTCTCTCTTTGGATATCCTTACATTATTTTCTCCAACAAGAGTGCAGGAATATAGTTCGTAAATTGTATTGACCAATGACAGTCTTGAAAATAAATTCTATCCCATGAGAGAAATCCGCAATTTCTAACAAATCAAGAATTTGTTGTCGGCCATTTTGTAAATTAATTGGCGAAGAAAAATATTTAATGATATGATTGAGATTCTTTTCTAACCAATTTTAACTAATGTATTAATTAATAAATTGGTGAGTAATTAAGTGAGGGCCCCTTCAGTCAACAAATCTGGCTTTCTTAGAATCCAATTTGTTGATCTAAATATTTAATCTCAAGACTAACATAATCTCGAGATTATGTTAGATCAAATAGATTAAATATTTAGATCAACAAATTGGATTCTAAGAACGCCAGATTGGTTCGTTTTCTTGACTGGAAGGNAATCTGGAGATTAAGAAAAAGAGTGGATTAAGCATTAATCTTGATATCCACCATACTAAAGTTTTCAGCTCTGGGCTCATACCGAAGAGCGTAACATCCATACATATTCACATAGTTGCGATATTTCATTCAGATTGTAAATAATTCAATCTAATTTAAATCATCCATTTAGATATTATAACCTATCCTATTATTTTGGAATTTAATTTGATGCATTCATTTACATATAGTTATTTTATAATATTTTTTATTTGTTTTATATACCATGTACTTTAAAATGATGATTTGTTTGCAGTTGCTAGGTGTTGGTAGGTGTCTCTCCCACATGCACTCTAAAAGTTGCAAATTTGGTCTTTAGCATGCAGGCATCAAAGTTCTTCTTTCATACTTCAAAGTTCTTCTTTCATTACACAAATTTTGTTGAATATTTTCCAAAATTACAATCTAACAAAACTTGTTAATAGTTTACACATTGTTCTCTTGGCATGTGTCAAACTTTGTCATATGAAATCTTTTTTTTGTTATGTGACAGTTTTCTTTCATTGTAATATATTTTTAATAAAAAATAATAAAAAANAAATCTTAATATCAATATTTAATCAAGAATTTTTGTTTCAATTCCCCACTACCCTCACTACCTCCGACTTTTACAAATCTATAAATCAACTTTTCTTCAAGAATTTTTTTTTATTTCAAACTACCCTCACTACCACCGACTTGTTGAAACATTTTTATTAACATTTATTCAAGAATTTTTTATTCAATTCCACACTACCCTCACTACCTCTGACTTTTTAAAATCTATTTATCAACATTTACTGAAGAATTTGTTTTTTATTTCAAACTACCCTTACTACCACGGACTTGATAAAACTTTATTATCAACATTTATTCAAGAAATTTTTTTTCAATTCCCCACTACCCTCACTTCTTCCGACTTTTTAAAATCTGCATATCAACACTTGTTCAAGAATTTTTTTTTATTTCAAACTATCCCCACTACAGACTTGTTGAAACTTTTTTAACAACATTTATTCAAGAATTTTTTTTCAATTCCCCACTACCCTGAGTTCTATCATTTATATCCAATCAATACATATCTTTATTTTTAAATTTTGAATTATTACTACTTTAACTACCATCTATTTATCTGACATAAAGCTATTGTGAAAAATATGGCATTTTATACATACAGCCTGTAACAACCTCTGTTGATGGGTCAAGATGCAAAGCTGAATGATCATATAACAAATGATTACATAGTTGCGCAGTAAGTTGAAGGGACATTCAACAAATTTTGACGAATGGTACATTTTATCCTGCACAGTGTTGCTAGTTGAAGCGACATTAGACAAATTTTGTGTGATGATAAGAGAGGCGTATTCAGGAATTTGTCCAGGGGGGCTTAAATTTTTTTATCTTTCCATGGGGCGGGCTCAGCACCCATTGGGACCTGAAAACCCCCTGAAATCAATAGATTTCACTGGTCCAGAAGGGGCTTAGCCCTATAGCCCCCACCCTGAAAAGGCCCCTGGATGATAATTATATGAAGGCGAGGCCTGCACATGACATCGTGGTTACTACAAACACCGGTTGATAGATTATTTATCAAACAATGAATTGATGCGACTGAAAATACATTTAACAAAATTTGACGAATGAAAGTGCTAAGGTGTATTTGAGTCCGGTGCTCCAACAAACTTTGTTAGATAAAGTTTGAAATTTCTTAGAGTGTGGAACCCATGAAGCATTGATAGCAGAAACACCTAGTGGCCAAATAAACAGCGTTTGTAAATTATATTGTAAATGTAACAAATAAAAAATATCATTAAATATTAACTATCTTTACAAATGCATTGAATTGGATTTGAAGATTATAGGTTGTAATATCTGAATGAATAATTTCAAATTGGTTAAATTATTTATGATCTGAGAGGAATAATGCCACTTTGTGAATTTATATGGAAGTTACGTTTTTTGGTATGAGTCATGTTTAACCATTTTCTTCTTATAAGTGTAACAGATAAAATAAAAGTAAGATTAATAGTGATCACCATCAAATTCGATTTGAAGTTAGTCTAAACCCCCTTTCATTTTTCGCGAACACTCCCTTTAAGCTTATGAACAAATTAGTGAGAGTGAAGTAATTGTGACTGGTGGCTTTGGTGATAGAATATTGAAAACTGTTCAAAAAATAGATATAACAACTGGACTGGTTGTGAGCCTATTTCCTCTTATAAAAGCTAGGTATGAAGTTATTATTTACATGCTATGGGGATGATGAAAAAATTCCATTAAAAATAACCCTGTAATATCTAGAACAACCCATGGTTGCGGACTCTATAATGGTGAAGTGTATGTTGCTGGTGGATATGCTGAACCTGGAACTAACCATGTTGAAGTCCTTAGTCTGGAGACTTGGAAATGGACAGCCTTTACACCTATGAACAATGACAGAAGAGATTTTTCCATGGCAGTTCTGGACGGATATCTTGCTGCGTTTGGAGGTAAAAGTATAAAGTATATTAGATGATATCTCTCTATAATTCATTTATATAATGTTAGTAACTAGGAGCTTTGCAAGACTTTAAAGTCTACATTTAAAATATTTCAGTCATTATCGATTTTGCTAATAGGCCCAACTGGAAAAAATCTCGGGATCCGAATTTGGATTTATTACTTGAGGAGTTCTGTGTGAGGAATAAAATTGGTCTGCTTTTTCATTAAGGTTCTGCTTTGTTGGAATATTTTCATAGATTGGTAGTGTAAACAGATTGGTTGAACCGATCGGAGACCAAATCAGTAGACAGACTGGCACCTGTAGAAAATAGTTTCAAAACGGCGGTTTATAAACTCCTGTGAACATATGAATTTGTTTACAACTAGCTGAAGTACCCTGCGTTGCCCAGGTTTATATCATTATTCATAGTCATAGTTACTCTTGCCGTTTACCTGTATTGGTATTAAATGGAGTGACCGGCTATGTAAGGTAGATGAACTGAGTATGCAGTGCTGTGGAAAACTTCTTTCGGATTCATTTGAGACATATTAAACTTTTTAAAGATCTGTAAATCCTGACTTTGAGCGCAAATTTGACGTTCAAAACTCCTACTTTAGGGGTGATTACGTTTTCAGAATTAGTTTTTTTAAATTATTAAATAACGACGACATAAAATGTAAAAAAAGCTCTACAATAAACAACAGACGTCATGTTTAGGAACATGTTGAGAAAATAAAAATTAATCTTAACATCGAAATAAGTAATCTTGTTCAATTATTTGTTTCTGTTTTCTCATTATTCACAAAGATTTTCTGCAGATTTTCTAGAATTATTATTGAAAAGACGACATTTGAAGAATCTGAAGAAATCTGCGAATAAATTCAAAGAAAATAAGAAATTCCAAAATTATAAATATTTTTAGACACTTACGGAGATTCTGATAAGTCAAAATAAACAGTTTTTTAAAACAAAGTTAAAAATTAAAAAGTTTTTAAAAACAGAGAAGGATGGAGTGGATTTTAAGATAAGTTTACTTGATATTTAGGAGACGGGTCAGGCGGAAGACGGTCTGTGGAAATCTACAATTTTACAACAGGTTAGAAAGATTTAAAAAATCAAACATTATTAATTGTGTAGAATTCAGCCATTTAGTTCCTGCAAAAAGATTTTTAATACAAGTCCAGCAGATTTTGTTTAAAGAAACCTTGCATTCGTGTTATTCAATTTTTTAATGGATTTCATAAATATATGAGAAAAAAGTTGCCATTAATTAGTCTCCCTCCAGAAGAGATTTTTTTAAAATTTATTTATACAAAAAGCTTTTATGATTAGCATTGGAACAATTTTTATCATGGCTTAATTGTAATCCATTTATCAATTATTGGTATAGTGCGTACTTCAACATTTTTATAGAAATTTTATTTGTACATATTATAGGTGTTTTTATAGTTTAACTGCTAAGTTTCCTCAATAATAAAACACTTTTTGATCTGAGCGTGTCAAAACAAGTTTTCCTTACATTAAGCATTCTTTTACATTTTTATAAATCTTTAAGATTTTTTCTCATAAATAGATATTTTGGCTGACATAAAAATGTTTTAGATTGTTCGAAAAACTTCTTTTTTATTCTAAACACATTTTTAGATTGTACTAAAAATATGTTCTAAAAGTTTGAATGTGAACCAGTTCTTGCAAAATTTGCGTCAATTCGCAATGCATTCGGTAATTTGTTAACCTAACATTTTTAAAAATTTGAATCACAATGCACTGACTGCATTGCAAACTGATTTTTACAGTGCTGTTAAAATCATACCTTTAGTCTAAAAGTCGTCTTCCTATTCTACAGTATGGGTTCTACTGTATACTGAGAATTAAATAATTTAGGAAGCTGGGAGACCAGAGTGTTGAAATCTGATCATCTCTTTCATGCAACTGTCACTGTTCCATGTGTGTAGAAACGGAATCCGTAATTGTAATTTAACTTGACTTTCTCGGTACAAATTTTATTTAACACTATTTTTAATGCTAAAATCTTTTGCTTGAGGTTTGCTTAGGTTTTCATCGATATCTGTATCCAAGCTATATGCACAATATTGATTTAAATATTGATCCAAGCTATATGCACAATATTGATTTGAAATCTAAAAATTTTAAACAGTTGATTGTTGATTTAAGCAGCCTAAAGTTACATAAGATAATTTACTTGAACAAAATATGACGAGAGGTTTATTAGATCATGTACATAAACTTTAATAGGACGAGAGGTTTATGAGATCATGTACATAAACTTTAATAGGACGAGAGGTTTATGAGATCATGTACATAAACTTTAATAGGACGAGAGGTTTATGAGATCATGTACATAAACTTTAATTTGTTTGAAAATACAGTATAGCATACCCCAAATTTTCATTTGATACCATTTAAAGCTTGAAAAAAGGGAAATGCTGGGGGCTGGAAAAGTCATGTGTTTGTGTCTGTACCAAAAGAGTGTGTGTCTGTGATAAGGAACCGAAAGTTGTACTGTCAGTGTATACAGTACAGAAGAATCTCGGTAAGAGAGTGCATTTGTTTATTGTTAATTGTTTACTTCAAATTAAGTTTAATATACATGTTATATATTATTCATACATTTAAATCAACACAATAAGCCAAATGTTCATGCAAAGAATATAATTTGATTAAAGTTTACAAGCTTAATCATAATTGACGATATTGTTCTCAGGGGCGTAAATAAGGATTCTGTAGGGGGGGGGGGGTAAATATTTTTAATGGGTCGCGCGAAGCGCGCCGAACTTTTTTACCCTAGAATTATTTTTACCCCCCCCTAGAAAAATATCATGATGTATATCAAATTATTGGTTTTAGTTGGGTTTGATTTGCATTTTCACTCATTTCTGGCATTTACAAACTCCATCAAATAAAGGCTTCATTTCCTACCTTTCAGCTTTCACATTGTTTTATATCCTTCATTATAGTCATTCATTTTACATTAACTACAAAGATCTGTAAAAAAACTGGATTTATTTTAAGTAACATAAGAAATAGTTTTACTCTAAGAGGAAAAAGATAAGAGGAAACTTTTTTAAATCTTTAGAAAAGCTACTCTGCAAAACTTTGAAAAAATATTGTCTTTGTTTATATTAGCCATTTCCCTGCAGGGAAAAGACTCACCATAAACTTCATACCGTCAAATTTAATGAGTTACAGACAGGTCATACTTTGTTGGTAACCCTGTAGTGTATTCTAGAAAACTTTGAATTCCTCCTTCAGATATTTCTGGAATCTAATTCTGGAATGTTCTGGAAAAATTCAAAAATATTCTGGAACAAAATTCTGTAAAATTTCCAACCACTCACTAAAACAAATCTGAGATATATAAAATAATTTGCTATCCCCAATCTGATGTCAAAGAACTTAGTTATTGAATCTCTAAGTATAATAGCAGAAGTTTAAATTTAAAATATTAAAGATTTTTAACATCAGGCTGCACAAATACAAGGTTTAGAAAATTTGAGTTTGTAGCGATTTTAAGAATGGAGAGTTTCGATCCCCTGTGAATTCCAAGGGAAACAAATGTGATTGTGAATGCCCAGTTTCAATTACTTTCTTCAGGAAAAGTCTTCCATGGGCATGTTATCTGCTTTTTGGATAAGTTTTTTTATCATTAACAGTGCTGTCATTGCTTTTCATCGTCAAAAAAGGATTAGCACAATCATCTAACTTCTTTTTATTTCAAATCATGCCTTATTCATTAAAACGATATCATTATTTTAATAGTTTATCCTCTAATTTTCTCAAATTTGATAGATTGGACAAGTTCAATTACTGTTCAATAATAACAAAACACAGAAAGATAGGGTGAGGGGAGGATAGGATAGGGGAGGGGAGTACCCCCCCCCCTAGAAAAAGGCCTTAGAGAATAGGTATAGGGTTGAAATGCATGTTCATACCCCAATATTTCATGGCCAGCTCAAAGAAAAAATGATACCCATAACTTTAATAGTTTGGGTGCTAAGGAAAGTGGGAAAAAATGCCTAAAAAACGGTCAAAAAAATGAAAAAATAATTTTTTTTGTTTTAAACAAATATCAAAGTGTGACTGTGTGACACATGTTTCTACATGCATTTTTCAAGGGCTTTACAAAAATATAGTTTTTAGATCTGTAGCTATAGTCACAAAAAAGTTATGGGCTATTTTAGAATTTTTTTCACAGACTCAACTTTTTTCCGCCCTGTACCCTAAAAATAAAAAAATTACTATTTATTAAAAGTATCAAAATTTCACGATGAAAGTGTCAAGAATGAGGTGCTAGGACAAAAAACTACAGGGCCCCCCGGGAGTGTTCGCGAAAACTGAAAGGGGGGATAGGCTCACGGCGAAAAATTATCGATGGTGATCGCAACTTATCTTACTTCTATCTGTTACGTCTATAAGGGGAAAATTGTTTTAAACAACGCATACCGGCCAGAACGGAGCTTTCATACAAATTCATAAAGTTGCAATATTCGACTTGGATCGTAAAAAAATCAATTTAATTCAAACAAATCATTCGGATCTATAATCATTGATAATTTTTCGACGCATTCGTATATAGTTAATTTTCATAATATGTCTTACTTGTTTCATATACGATGTACTTTAAAGGACGATTTTTTTTGTCGCTAGGTGTCCTTGGAGTCTATTCCACGTGCAGAACTCCAGAAGCATCGAGAGCAGAGACGTACACTTAACGGTATCTGAATGGTCTAGTTCCAGTATCTAGCGTATAGTGTCGAATATATAATGTGTTTATATATTCTGAATTGTCTAGTTTCTAGTATCCAGAGTCTAGTGTTGAATATCTAATGTGTCTAGTATCTGAATTGTCTAGTTTCTAATATCCAGTGTCTAGTGTTGAATATCTAATGTGTTTATATATTCTGAATTGTCTAGTTTCTAGTATACAGAGTCTAGTGTTGAATATCTAATGTGTCTAGTATCTCAATTGTCTAGTTTCTAGTATCCAGTGTCTAGTGTTGAATATCTAATATGTCTAGTATCTGAATTGTCTAGTTTCTAGTATCCAGAGTCTTGTGTTGAATATCTAATGTGTCTAGTACCTGAATTGTCTAGTTTCTAGTATCCAGTGTCTAGTGGCAAATATCTAATGTGTCTATTACCTGAATTGTCTAGTTTCTAGTATCCAGTGTCTAGTGGCAAATATCTAATGTGTCTTGTATCTGAATTATCTAGTTTCTAGTATCCAGTGTCTAGTGGCGAATATCTAATGTGTCTTGTATCTGAATTATCTAGTTTCTACTCTAGTATCCAGAGTATAGTGTTAAATATATAATGTATTTAACCTCCTTTTTGTACATATCTCTCAGAGTATAAATGAATTGGGATTAATCAGTTTCATAGTTTATTTATTAAATAATCTGTAATGTCTACTCATTTTTTAGTAAGGTCCTTTAGATATTCAGCTGCTACAGTTCATGATCTGTCTGAGTAGCTTCCTCTACTACTCTATCTCGTTCAGCTGCTATCAGAGTCTCTGTTATCCTGGCTGCTCCTACAATCTGGGATTCTCTTATTGTGTCTTCTGCTGCATCCTTAACTACTGGAGTTGCTCTTTGAGTCCCTAATATGTTAGCTGTTCCTACATTCTGAGTTGCTCCCAGAGCTGTTCCTAGAGTCTCTGCTGTGTTAGCTGTACTTGCATTCCAAGCTGCTCCCAGATCCGTCCCTAGGTCTCTGCTATGTTAGCCGTACTTACAGTCCAAGCTGCTCCCGGAGCTGTCTGTAGAGTCTCTGCTATGCTAGCTGTCCTTATAATCTGAAATGCTTCCAGAGATGTTCTTAAAGTCTTGCACTATGAGATGCTCCAGTTCTATCTGAGAAGCTTCCTCAACTCAATATCTCATTTAGCTGCTCCACTTTAATATTTATCTCTTAGCAATCTCTCAACGCCAGCTTCCACATTTACTGCTGGTTCAATTGCTGCTTCTACTGTAAATCTAACTGCTACTTTGTATAAACAGACCCAAGCTCTAACGTCTATCCTGTTTAAGATCCTGGAGCGTACTGCTTCTATTCTCCAGGTTCTCTACTCAGCTTAGATTCAGACAAAGGGTTAAGGTGTTGTAAAATCTGGTCGTATTCTAAATATTACACCGTAACACCATGCTTTAAATATTACACTAGATTCTAGTGTGAAAACTTTAAAAAATAAATCCTTGTCTGGAAAACCTCATAAATCTTACCGTTTTCAGATTTATTAAACGTCAAATATTTAATTTTTTCTTCAAAACTTTTTTTTATAAAAAACGTGAGTTTTATTGTAAAATAGTAAAATTGGTCGTGCATTTTTGTGTAAAAAGAATGAAATTTCAGAGACGACTGTTCTGGTTTATTTGGTTCCATGTAACTTGAAACATTCTCTTAATCTTTGCCAAATCATTAAATAGATCATTTAAAGGCAATGGACCAAATTCAATCACTAGAGGCAGAATTTAAAGAATTTAAACCGCGTCGATGATCCGCCAAAAACCGGTTCTAATTGAGCACCGGCTCAAATCTTGAAAAACTGAATACAATTGGAAGTGCATCAACCTTGTTTAAACCGCATCTTAAATTTGAGCCGCGGTTCAAATTCTATAAATTCGGCCTGAGTTTGTTATAATTTATTAATTTAAGTCTCTATTCATTTAGGAGTAACCCTGTACATTACAATATGCATGTAGTGTTCTTAAAAAGAAAATATCAGAACACATTGTTATTAACAATATATGCCAAAAAAAAAACTTCATTTGGCTCTGTAAAATAACTAATCTAACCGTTGTTCAAAATTTAAAGGCCAAAAAAACCTAATTTAACATTTATTACTTCTTTTATTTTACGAATCTGAAAATTCCTTTGATTTTGGAAAACAATTCAACTCTGAAAACTTTCTAATTGAACATTATTCATTGATAATTAGTAAATATATCAAAAACTACGGTTTTTAGAGAAACGGGGCACAGAGCCACATGATCCTCTTAAATTGGCCTCCAAGTCCCGGGATAAGTCTTAAAGCCAGCTCGGAGGTTATTCTGCAAATGATGAGGCTTGAAGGTCGTTGCACTCTGCAACCCTCCCTTCTTCTTTAAATTGTTTTGCGTTTTTTCTACTTTATCTTATTTATCTTATTCTTAATTTTAGAATATTTCTTATCTTTATAATCTTTGGATTAATTTTGACTTTATGGTAATTTTAAGTAACTTTCAAATTTTATGAGGGCCATGTACTATTTGCACAAGGGTACCCTTTAAATGTTATACTTTTATCTGATCAATAATGTGGAAGATATCGTCGTTTTCTATCTTTCAATCAATTATCAATTAGAAAACACGTATTCTTGATTTTCAGCTTTCATGGGTAGTGTTGTGATTTGAACATTTTACTGTATAAATGGAGGGTTCCTTGAAGCTACATCAAGAAAAAACACCCATTTCTAACCCTGA